TTTTTTCTCTTAAGGACATTAGTTATAAGCAATATTTGTTTTTAATGTCAGAGAATCGTAATTATTAGAAATTTATATATTTATAAATGATTAAATTTTTTTTGATTGGTTATAAATATTTTAAAAATATTTATAAATATTTTAAAAATATTTATAAATATTATTAAAAATAATTTTTTTTATTATATTAGATAAACAAATAAAAATAAAATGTTATTTTTATTGAAATAAAATTCTTATTTTAACCAAAAATATTTCCATCTCTTCTTATAAGAATAATTTTATGAGAAATTTATATAAAAATTATTTCAAAAATATATAAATAATAAATTAAATATAAGAAATTAACATTTTTAATTTCAAATTTTTAGAAAAGTAAAATTTTTCATGTATTAAATGTCTCTAAATATTTTCTTAATAAAAGAAAATTAAAAGAATATTATTTCATTGTGATGTCATAAAAGAAATGTATTACTTTTATTATTACAAAATTTAAGGATCTATTATACTTGTAAAACTTGAAACACAATATTAAAATATATTAAAAAAATTTATCGTTAGAATTATTCACTACAGTTTTAAAAGTCGAATATATTTTATTTTGCTGATATAATCTAGTAAAATTTATTTAATTTATATAGTTGTGATTTTTGCTTTATATGGTCAATTATTATAAATTTTTAAATTTTCATTAAATTTATTATATTAATTTTAAAATTATTATCTAACATTATTTTTTATATTTGATTCTAAAAAAATCCTCTAACACCCCTGATTAATGAATATATGATTTCTATTTTGAAAAAAAAAAAATCAGTAAAACAGACTGAGATCGAGTCCTCTGCATCTATTCCAACTCCGCCACTTCTGCAGTGAAATATTATTCTACCTTAAAACAAAAATTCAGAGTTTCTTTTTTGGGTTCTGTGACTTTTGTCCATAATAAACTCCAGAAGTAACATTCTTAGAATCTAGTGTATCGTTATTCTTCCTCTCTCTTAAACTCTAGAGAGAGAGTGTGCGTGTGCGTGTGGTGGATTGATGATGAATGGTTGTTGAATGATTGATGTCTAGCCCTCTTTCTTTGACTTTGGATTCATTTCTGTTACCATCCCATTTCTATTTTCTTTCCTTTCCATCTGTGAGTTTTTTTTTTTTTTTTTTTCCTTTTGTGGTTCTTCCATTCAATTCAAGACTTGTTCTTCGTTATTACCAGTTGCCAAATTCTAACAACTGAAAAATCTTTACCTTACACTGCCACTTCTGGAGTATGAATGAAAGATGGCATCAAAGTTGTGTCTTTTTCACATTCTTTTCGTTTGATGATGCAAGTACTTTGAGTGGACTGGATTTGTGGTGGTAGTTCTTTTGTTTTTGTTTGTGGGGTGTTTTTGATTGCCCAAACAAATTTTGGTTTTCTGGTTTGTGTGTTGATTTGTCAATTCAGATTTGTATTTTGTGTGATTATGGGTTGTGCAAATTCCAAGCCAAAGGGGTGTCAACATTGTCATTGCAACTGCGATACCCCTTATTATTCCTCTGTGCCTAGAAGCTTCTCAGTGCATGTGCATCACCCACCTCAAAGCAAAGGAGACAGTTACCATGTTGTGGCACTCACATCAACCACATTAGGTTCTCTTGATCATGGCAATGGTTTGAGGTTTTCCAATGGGAAGGGCAAGGGCAAAGTCATTGACAGTGACAGTTTCAATGACGAGGAGGGGGAAGAAAAGGAAAAGGAAAAGGAAAAGGAGGAGAATGAGGCAAAGACATCCTGGACTGATATGATTGAGCAAATTCTGCCAAAAGTTGTTCTCAAGACTCCAACCTCAACACCACCTCATGAGCCAGAGACAATCAACACATGGGAACTGATGGAAGGCCTTGAGGACACAACAAGCCCTTTCAGATCACCAAAGCACTTCAAGAGCTTCTCTTTTGATGTCAATGTCAATGGCCATGTTGATCCACCCAAGCCTTGTGGTTTCATTGAGAGTGGAAAATACAATGATGATTCAGCCAAACCAATGTGGTCTCAGATGAGTGAGAAGGGATCAAATGATTTTGATTTTGATGACTCTCAAGAGAACAAAGAGGTCGTTGATACAAAGGGGTTGTCTATTGAGGAAGAGAAGGTGAGTAATGATGTTGTTATGGATTTGAAGGGTGGGAAGGAAAAGGTGGTGTTATATTTCACTAGCCTGCGTGGGGTGAGGAAGACTTATGAGGATTGTTGCCATGTGAGGCTAATTCTGAAGGGGTTGGGAGTGAGGCTGGATGAGAGGGATGTGTCAATGCATTCAGGGTTCAAGGAGGAGCTCAAGGAGCTATTGGGGCATGGATATGGTAAGGGAGGGTTGCCAAGGGTGTTTGTTGGGAGGAACTACATTGGTGGAGCTGAGGACATTCAACAACTTCATGAGGATGGGCAACTAGGGAAATTGCTTGATTGTTGTGAGAAGATTGATGACACTACTGATGGAGTTGATGATGGGGGAGTGTGTGAGGCATGTGGGGATATAAGGTTTGTGCCTTGTGAAACTTGTTTTGGAAGTTGTAAAATCTACTATGAAGGGGATAATGATGATGATCAAGAAGAACAAGAAGATGGGGAGGTAGGTGAGTTTGGATTCCAACGTTGCCCTGATTGCAATGAAAATGGACTAATCCGCTGCCCCATGTGCTGCTACTAGTTACATGTATCCTCCATGGGAAACAATCCTGATTAGGCCGGATATGACTGTTACATAACATGTATCCTCTATGAGAGATAATCCTGATCAGGCTGGATATGACTGCTATGAGTGACAATGATGACATTTAGTTTAACACAGGTAATTGAACCAATTTTTGGAGTTGTGTCTTCTGGTATTTGTTTATAGTGAGTTTTTGTTGTACAGTGAGTTTTGGTGTGGTTGATCATATTAGAGAAAAAAGGAAGGAGATACAACATTGAATAACATTTTCATGTTCTAATCAGTCCCTCTGCACAACTAGTGCAATTTACTGCATAGTGTATACTTTTCTTTTTTCCTTTTCCAGAAAACAAAAAGACTTGTTGTATACATTTTCCTTTCATGCAAAAAGAAATGCAGAGAGTTACAAGGGTATAGTGGCATTCACGTTCTTTCACTTCACAATGTGTTCTTCTCCCTTGGACAATTTCAAGGCTAATGTGCTCTTCTTCCTTAGACAATTTTAAAGCTGTGATGTTTAGCACTTATTCACAATGGTAGCTCAAATGCTCTTCTAAGTGTTATAAGAAATGAACCTACTTTAAACTAATTACATAATGCAACTACCATGTTTTTCAATTGATAACAAATGTTGGCCTCTACTGAAGACAAGATCAGTAGCTGTTAGAACACTGATTTATATTGGATTACAATTTCTTTCTTGGGAACAAAGAATAAACGTTACCCATTTTCTTTATTTGTAGAAACAGGCGTTTGCTAATAAGTTATTTTAATGATTTCTGCACTACCAACTTCATATAATAGTTTTGAACTGAAAAGTGTTCGCAGCATCATACCACCTTTTCATTTTTACTATTAAACATAGGTTAATGTTAAGGGGTCAGAAAATAATATAATACATTAGGGGGGCATTGATTATTTTTGGTCAGAAAATAATACATTACCTTGTGGCTAAGTCAAATCTTGATTCTTTAGACTCAAATGTAATCCGTGACTGCTGTAACCAATTACACCGTTTCTTCTGGAACCAACAGAACCGTTCAAATTAAATCACATAAATAATTTTCAACTAAAAGAAAGTTTTAATATGAAGCGGCTTTAGTTAGTTCTTAATATCTATTTAAGGTGCATTTGTTTCTTCTCTTTTGTGGTTGTTATCAACCACATGCGTTTAAGTTAATGCACATTGACTCTATTGCATTGAATTTTTTATAAGCAAGAAAAAGACCTTGTCATACATAAGCTGATGCACATAAATTGAGGAGGCAAGAAAACTCACCAATTTTGACTTAGCTACCATACCAACACATGACATATTTGATACCCTTCTAAAGGTGCACTAGAAAGTAGTAAAGTATTTTCCAGACATTTTTGTTATAATCATTACAGAGACGGTGCCACAGTTGAGCCACTTAATTAGGGGAAATAACCTATTAATTCATGAAATTTAAAATTAGAAATCCAGGTTGTGCCATTAACTAAAGGATGTACCACCATGGAACTACTAATGATACAAAAGATTTGTGCCAAAGATTCTAACTTTTTCCTGCTCCTTTTTCAATCATGTTCATGTGTTCATGCAGAAAATGGGGGTCCCCTATTGGTAAGAAAATCCTAGTAGGTTGTTAGTCTCCTTGTCATAGTCATCCCATCAAAATCATAACTAGTGGTAGATGACAATTACAATGCAATAATGAATCAAATGTCAATCATGTATTTATGCATGTTATGGATAATGTACAAGGAAAAGTGGAAAACAAAATTTAGGAGATACTGGGCTAGTGTGTTACCTAATTTCTTATTCTAAGGCGCTGATATGCTTTAACAATTAATGATTTTTTCCAGTATAACCGTGATAGTCAGATTTGAGCTTGTAAATTACACAAATTACCCCTAGTATTTCACCACTAACTCAACAATTAATGACTAATATTCAATAACACATCTTACTTATTTAGAATATAAAATAGAAACAGTTGGAAACAATTCAATATAGCAAGTTATTTTGGCATATTTATACTTTATTTTTAAAAATACATAACTTAAGTATCAACTATTTATTATCAAAACTGATCAGCTAGATTATCCCCACAAATATCAAAATCAACAAAAGTGAATAGATATTTAACACTAATAATATATTATAATAAGTGTCATTAATCAATTATTTTGTCACTATATTTTCGCACCGATAATATGGTAACAAAATAAATCATTAATTATTAAAAGTATTACTATTTTTAAAGTGTAATTTTGATATACTATTCATATAAATATATCACTTGGTTATTATTAATTAGAAATCAGTTTAGAATATCTTTTAAGTAATTATTATAAAAGGTAATTTTTGATTATATAATAATTTGTAATTTGATGAAAATATAAATTAAAACACTTTTATATTGGGAATATTTATTCCAGTTAAATTTATACTTGAAAACAAAAACAAGCAAAAGAATCGGCTGAAATTATCACTTAATTTGGAAATTTACATCAATGTTATATTTCTCAAATTTACATTTCTTTCAATATCTCAAAATTGCCTTCTGTTTTTTCTTCCTTTTCTAAATTTATCACCTAAGATTTCCTTTGGGTCGGTGGTCCTAGCAAATATATGAGCTGTTTTGTATGTTAGCAGTGGGATGGATGCTCATTGCTATTTAAAATAAAATATTAGTTAGTCAGCTTTATGTTGAGAAAATGAATTCCTGCCATCATCTTGTCATGTTACTCCAAAGAAAAAGCTCCTCATAACTATAACTGTTAAAGGCTGTTATTGATCGTACATGAGAAAAAGAAACTAGATACAATTTTTTAGTGTTCTTTTTATACTGATTTAGTTTAATACATTGGATCCAGAATTTTTTTAAAGAAAATTTAATCAGATTTTTAAATTAAAAAAATTGTAGTCAAACTCTTGATCATTTAAGATTTTTTTAATTAAAATTTTAAAATTAACAAAATTGCTATAAATTATTAAGAATTTTTAATCAGATTTTTAAATTAAAAATTTGTAATCAAACTCTTGATCATTTAAGATTTTTGTAATTAAAATTTTGAAACTAACAAAATTGTTATAAATCACTACTTTTGTGATAATTTCAAGCCACCACAAATTAACTCTAGAGATTCAATTAAAAAATCATAAAATATTAAGAACTTGATTATAAATTTTTAACATTTATAATTATTTTTTTAAAAAAAAGTTTATAATCTACTAGTGTATTAAACCTGTTATTTTAAAGTTTTATTTTTATTAGAATAGAATTCTAATTTTAATTAAAAAACAACACCAATAATATTTTAAAATTATATGTAGTTTTTGTAATATATATACACATAATAATATACACACACAAGTACAAGACTTTGCAAAAGGATTAACTGGCATGTAGTCTTGTAGAGAAACAAAAGAGGGGGATCTACACTGCCCATCCAGCAAACCAAGCCTGTATATATAACACCAATGTAACCAAAAATCTGTAGCAAAGTGCATTTTAATAGTGAAAGTTGCTCAAATATTTCTTAATTACATATTTTCTCATTGGCATGTATGAAGAGTCAAGACCAATGTGACAAAAAAGAGGACAATCAAATAATGAAGAGAGGACGTGACATGCACCTTGTTATTATGCCCCAAAAGATACTATAGGCCGGCAATGGCAAAGCAATTGTTGGGTTGTAAAGATAGGGTTGCAGGATGTATAAAGCATAAAGCATTACACTCTGGTTGGCAGGTATGTATATCAGCATTAAAATATATACAAACAGTCACATGTTATCATAATTCTAGACTGCTTCTAAAATTATACTTTTTGAAGTAATGATTTAGGGTGCGTTTCAGTTAAAACTTGAGAACTTGTTCAATAACTTTCAGCACATGGGGATAGGTTATAAATTATTACTTTTAATAATAAATATTATCTTGATTAACATACATAAATTAAAATACCAATAATATGTATTTATTTTTGTGGTATTTTTTTTAAGGATAAAGAACTCAAATTTTTTATTATTAATTATCTTTGACTCACTTTAATTTAATCTTAGAACAACTTAAAAAAATATTTTATATCAAGAAATTTTATTTATAGTTAAAGTTCATCGTTTCTAAAGAAATGTATAGAATAAATTATATATCTTAATGATAGTTTTTTTTTAAGGACAAAATACTCATAAATCTTATTATCATTAAAATTATTATTATTGAATAAACATCTTTTAGAATAAATTATTTACATTTCTAGTAGTTTTTTTTAGTACAAAATACTAATACTTTGGATTGATCATATATAATTATTTTTAAATTAGTTAATTTTTACTCAAGCAGGAAACAATGTTAGAATGATCAGGGAAGCTTTCCATGTCTAGAAATTTTCTCTTACAATCAAGTGATGACCCCATTTTACATATTGATGGAAAATCATTCTTGAAGATTATAGGACCTTTGACAAGAGCAATGTCAAGAAGAATGCAAGAGGAGTGAGATTAAGGTGAAGGTAGAAGGTCAAAGCTTCTATTGAGCTATAGACTTATTTCATAGTTCATTTTTTTTCTTTCTTGTAAATATTTTTCCTTTATTTTGACCTTGTATTTTAGGTCTAATAGTGTAGGTAATTTTTTTTTTCTTATATTGTTTTTATTTAAGGGTGTAATTAGTAGATTGGGGGGATGTAACTAGTTAAGTCTTGTTAGACTTATTTGGGCTTGGATGGCTTAAATTCCTTTTGACTCATTGGTATTGGATGTCCACTTGCTTATGCAAGTGGTTTGGATGTCCAAACCAATCCAAGCTTGCCATCTAAGTTATAAATTAAGTCATATGGCTTTGATAGTGATATTTTAACAAACTTGTTAAATGTAATCATTACTTAGGTAGTTGTAATGATTAATCTAGGTAGTTGGAGTTAACTTAAGCTAATCTAGGTTATTCATAAATTAGGATTAGTTTAGCTTGCTCCATAAGTTTCTAGACAATTAACTAGACTTCTAGAAATTTAACTAGAGTTGGTTACCTTAACTACAAGATAGCTAAGCATGGTTACACTTAACCATGATTAGTCTAGCTTGCACCATAAGCCAACTAAACTCTATATATTGTAGCTTTGACCCATTGTTGTACTAGTTTTGAGTATTATACATGATTTGGATGAAATTTCTCTCCAAACTCTTTGAGAGCTTGTTTCTCTCTTTGAAATTCTTCCTTTTCGCTTATCCTTTCTTGAGTGCGGTGAGAAATTGAAGAGACTTATCACTCTTTAAGAGTGTGGCGCCACCTAAGAG